TTCACCAGTAAAGCAAAATATATTAATTATTTGAATTGCAAATTCAAAAAGCTGTTATACTTTTAATTGTCCGAATTATTCAGTTGTGTCAAAATCTCGGGAGGAAGGAAGGATATCACACATTTTGATGACATAAGTGACATTAAGAGGATTTATCTGACTGATAATCCAATGACATCTGCTTCTGAAATTGTTGACATCTGCTAGTGTTTTGTGACATAAAGTTGCAATCAAGAAGAAAGTCCTAGTTAAATGGCCAATGCTTAAAACATAAATATTGATTCAAAAACTCAGAAGCTTTAAAATCGGGGGAAATACTGGAAATTTGCCAAACATCTTCAAGAATAAAAGTATTTCGCCCGCGGTGAATCATTCCTTCCATCAGTACATGCTGAAGGGAAAGATTGACGTTATCTGTGTAACATACCTCATTCTTTATTCAGTGAAATACACTTTTTAATTGCATTTCCGATTTCTAATTCTTATCGTTTGAGAAGTTTGTTTGATTGATTTACTTAACGCAAAGGCCAGCTTTTAATATATCCAAATGATTATAATCCTCTACAGTGTATAATTTTTAACAAATCCTACATTCATCTATTTTTATTAAATTAATTAAACGTTTCTTAACGCATTCATTATTTTTCATTTTCCATAATGATTTTAGTCAAGCCCAAATGAGCGTTAGCCCAGAAGACCAGAAGGCTGCTAGTCTCGAAACGGCATTTTGCCTCGAATCGCTTTAAATGTCTGAATCACTTTTCAGATTTTTGCCACTAAGTATTATCGGCCTGTGTTATATTTAAAGAAACTAATAATGAAGAATATACATGAGTGTATGCATGTTTCTCGCATTGTGAAAAAACATCGCTCTCTAGAGTCAACAAATTTTGGATACTATAGTCCTCCATGGGCACCTGGAAGCTCGAATTTAGAAGTTGGAACTTGTTTTATTGCCTGTTTTATATTTTGTAAAACGTTAATGAATTTTGGATTAAAATCTTAATAATTTCAAAACGAGCAGTGGCAATACTGTAGAGAATAAAACATTTTTATCTCCAGTGCGTGAGACTGTGTATCAAAAAGTCTATATGCTTTTATAAAATATTTTTAGAAAAAAGGAACATTAGCCCAAATGCTATCGTACCGTGTATGTGTCTTTAAATATTAAAAATTCCCGTTTGGTTACAATATAAAATCTAAAAGATTTCAGATTTTTTTTTATACAGGGTATATTAGTACCGCGTTGATAGACTTTCAGGAGAGATAGAGTAGACCTAGACGATGGGAAATCACATAGCAGTGCATGATCGGAAACGCTTTCTTAGAACGGTAGTAACGGCACAAAACACAAGAAAGGAAGGCCACGAACAGGGTGAGTATGATGTTTATTATGCTTAGAGGAGATAAAACCAAGGATTAAGAATAAAAACCGATTATTGTCCTGAAAGAACGTGTTAATTATGATCCGGACTGTGACGCAGGAACCGTGTGTCATGCATCTTTCATTCGTGATGCAGATGTTCTATGCGCCGGGAAAGTAAGGCCTGAATCATGGTCCGGAGTCGTAACTTCGAACCCCTTCTTTAATGACCACAGTTCTTTGTTTTTGTTATTGTTTCTTGGTTTTTGCTGTACTAAGCATAAAAAACCCACGTTTGGTCTCACTGTTTGTGTCCTTCCTTTTTTGCGTTTTGTGTCGTCACTACCGCGCCAGGAAAGCGTTCCCAACCATGCATTGCTATGCAATTTCCCATCGTGTGGTTGTACTCTATCTTTTCAGAAAGTTTGCCACTGCTGTACTGATACATGGTATGTACGTATCAATGTAATGGACGTGTGTATGTGTTATTAATGTATAATGTATATAGCTATAAGTTGGGTAATACGTATTGGTATTGCTCTCCAAAATGTCTGTAGAGTTTAGGTACTTTTTTATTGTATGTCTTAAATCGAGTGCACTCACTATTAATGTATAGTGTATTAAATATGCACCTTTTATGTTATCTGTGTATTAATGTATTGTATGCGTGTAATATTAATGTATAATATATATAGCTATAGGTTATACAATGCGCATTGATACCGCTCTGCAATGTCTGTAGAGTTCAGGGAAATTTTATTATTATACGTATTAATTTATCGTCTCTGCGTCGACTATTATAATAGTGCATTATTAATGTATAATGTAATACGATGTATTACTATTGTGGTACTCGACATAGTAACAGCACGTTTTGATGTAAGTATCTTTATACTATATAATAAGCATTGTTATTGTAGGAATCCGCAATAGCCCTGTTTTTCTCCATCTGCCCCTGTTTGCAATATTCTTTTTCTGGACAGTTGCGGGAACCGGGCTTAACTGGATACTGATTATTCGGGTATATATATTATAAAACAAATTATCACTTTGTATATTAGTTGCTCTTTTCATATACGAAATGAAAAGAGCAGGGTACAGCCGGGTGCCCTACCCTGCTCTCATCTGTCACCTGTACTGATACATCCTGTATATTAAACTTTATTCTGTTGTTTTGTTGGTTTTAGTATGCTTTGAAAATTACAATCCTTTATTTTTCACTAACTATCACAGTGGTTTCAATCAGTATTTATAAAGTTACAGTATTCAGTACAAAATACATTAAAATACCTAGATCAAATCAATTTCTATTTGGTTTTACACCATAAATGTTTTCTAATATCCAATAAACCTATGGCTAAAGATTAAATTTAGAAGATCATTAAAACAAATGCCACTTTTAGTTAAACTGAAAAACATTTTAAATTATAATTATAAGGGAAAATGAAACTGCAATTTGTGCCTTAAGTATGTATTTACTTATTTAATTCTTTATAATAAAGGAAATGATCTAAGCATTATCATTTGTTTCCACAACTAACATTTGATTCAACATTAAACTTAAAAATTGCTGGAATGATGTAAAAACGTATGACTTCATTTGCAGTTCGTTGTACAGTTTGCTGAGTTCTATGTACAGAAGCATTTTAATGATTAAAATTGTCATATTGAATAAAATAGGGCCTACTAACAAACCTTTTTGTTTTTATTCCTTGCAACCCTGCAATAACGGTGTCCGCCGATAACATCGCGGCAAAAACATCGCGGACGAAAACGTCGCGGAGAAAACGTCACAAGGCGAAAACGTCGTGCTACAAAACATCGTGGGAGAAAACATCGTAAAGAGAAAACATCGTAAAGAGAAAACATCGCAGTTCTAAAACATCGTGGTACAAAACATCGTCGGCGAAAATAAAGCGGTTCAAAAAAAGCTTCGCAGTTTAAAAAGATCGTCGTCGAAAATATCGTGGTAAAATATAAAGTATCTGCAAATCATCGCATGACGATAACATCGCAGACATGCTTTTTTCCGATTTTAATAATTGTAAATGGATATTCCCATAATGATTTGTGAGTGCAAGGTGTAAAAAAGGATAATTTTTACTTTCACATATTTTTATTAACTAATAAAATTATACTGAAAAAGTAAAAAGGAAACTTAGGCATAGAAAATTAAATGCAACTTATAGATTATACTTTTCATGAAAAATTACCAGTAAAAACTTTATAGAAATTGATTTATTAATGGCCTTTATTAGTTAACTATATCGGTTTAAAATTCTATTAAGTGCTATAAGTTGCATTAATTTTCTATGCTTAAATTTCCTTCTTATTTTCTCAGCAACAATTTATTAGTTTATAAAAAATATGGAAGTAAAAATTATTCTTCTTTCCATCTTACGCTCACAAATTATTATGGGAATATTCATTTATAGCTATCAAAGCATGTCTGAAAAAAGCATGTCTGCGATGTTATCGTCATATGATGATTTGTAGATGCTTTATTTTTTTACCACGATATTTTCGACGACGATGTGTTTAAACTGCGAAGTTTTTGAACCGTTTTATTTTCGACGACGATGTTTTGTACAACGAGATTTTAGGACTGCGATGTTTTCTCTTTGCGATGTTTTCTCCCACGATGTTTTGTAGCACGAAGTTTTCGCCTTGCGTTGTTTTCGTCCGCGATGTTTTTGCCACGATGTTTTCGGCTGTAACCGCAATAACACTCTTTCTCAAGATAAACTTTCATCATAAGAATAAAACTTAGCTTTTCAAAATGAAAACAGTTTGGTTTCTAGAAAATTATAAAAGGAATAAAATAAAAACTTTTAAACATAAATTTTAAAATGCGTCATACTCATTTAAAACAATTTATATAAAGTTCATACAAAGTATCACATTGTATATTAGTTGCTGCATATACGAAATGAAAAGAGATAATTTTCCTTTAAGTATTTTTGAAAAGTAATTTTAGATAATATATTTAGTTTAAAAAATTGTCTAGAATAACATATAGCTAGCAGTGGTTCTAATAGTGAGGACAGTACTTTCGTAACATTGGCTTTTTATAAGAATCATACAAGTTTTAACGGATTAATTAAAAAAGACATTTGTATTTCAATGTATAATTACTCTAGCTGATTCGTTGTGAATAAATACAACATTATTGTTTCATATTAAATAAATCAAACAAATGTAATCACAGAATTTCATTTAAATAGATATCCAAAATGAATAGGTAAGCATATAAAGAACAGCAAATTTCAACTGATCTAGATGAGAATATAGAATAGAGATGAGAATATAGATGAGAATATAGATTATAGATGATGATATAGAAAAATTTAACAAAAAAAAAAAAAAAAAAAAAAAAAAAACTGAAGACAAATTTTTAATTTTTCTGTGCTTCATAAGAAGATAAATAGAGAGAAATAAAAGAAATTAGCTATCCTGGTTATATGCTATCTGATTTTAAGTAATACATATTTTTGTATGAGAAAACTGTTATGAAGTCCAGAAAATTATTTACTTATAAAATCTTAGTTAAGTCTTACAAAATAATCAAAATATAATTGTAGTCCTTAAAATGAAGCTAAATTTATTAATTTTTAAAAAACACAAAATGCGGCTTTACCTCCCTATCACGTTTAAACCAACGCAGTGTGGCGAGTGGATTTCCTCCTATTGCTACACACGTGAATCTTTGAAAATCACCCGCTTTGATTGGTGTTCCTTCCTCGTAGCCCATGATTGAAGGAGGACTAGGTGGATCTGAAATCAAGAAAAAAATTGTATAGTAGTGTAAGTATCCTGCTGTTATTAAATTTAATTTTTATACCCCTTATTTTCCTTAAGATGCTTCATTTCATTTTCGAAAGATAGTATGCGATCAAATTATTTTTAACCGGCAATGGTAGTAGCCCGATTTACAACGTTCAGAATTCATTTAAGTATAAAGTTCCTAATCAATTATATAAAAATAAAATCCCATTTGTAGAAGTCTGGATACTTTGTAATACGATTAAAACAATTCTCTTTAAAAAGTAATATACCTCATTAATGGAAGAACTCGGTACTAGTCGAAACTTAACTGGGAACTAATTTAAAAAGTTCTTCCTTCGCTGTTTGCTACTTCTTTACTATCCAAATTAAAGATTAATTCCCTTAATTTTAAACCTGGATGCACCTCTTTTTGTGAAAATGCATTATTAAAAGAAGTACGCTATCGTATATCATTAATGAGCACTGGAGGAACAAAAGGAAATAATTAATCAAAGAATTGATTTTATACCAGTTTATGTAGTAATATTAAAATTTCCGTACAGTAGTATTCCAATTATAGGAACTGTATATATCAATAGTTGAGTGTCTTATTTACAGTCCCAGCTTCATAGATAGTAATAACCTCCATCTTTGTCCTGCTCCAACAAAAAGTTCTCTATTTGAATCTTATTGCAAAGCTCGAGATCATATGATATTTTCTGCACAATATTTTAAATATAAATTGTCTAAACTCTGCTTCTGCTTGTGAATTCTCTCTGCACCTTTTACCCTTTTACGCTGCATTTTATTTGTATCTCGTTGTCTAAAGAAAAGTTTGCGAAGTTTTTAATCACTGGATAAAATGTTCTAAACCAGCGATTCTCAACCGGAGGTACGCAAGAGAAAAATAGGTGGTACGCAAAAAAAAAAACTAAGTATCTTTAACTATTAAATTCAAAAATCTCATTAAGCAAAAAAACAATTGATAGAAATTTTCTGCGATGGAGCTTTAACTGAAGACTTCAAAAATAACATACTTTTTAACTTTAGGCTGAACTGAAAAAAGAATTTAAAAACATTTCAAATAAAGCTATTAAATTTTATTACCTTTTTTGCACAACCTATTTGTGTGAACAACGATTTTCTTCCATGTTATATTTGAAAAAAAAAAAAAAATACTGAACAAAATTAAAATTGGATCTTAATTTATGGTTAAAGCTAAGTGAAATCTTACCAGACGTAAAGAAATTGATCGCTCTTAAACAGGCCCAAATTTCACACTAAATTTTAGAATTAAAGTATTATAACTTAAATTTTGATAAATTAAAATGGTAACCAATTTTTAATCTAATATTTTTTATGTGTGCATATTTAATAGAAATAGCCAATAGGTTGTACAAATGGCAAAACGTATTTTCGTCAATATTTCTATTGAGAAATTGAAAAATAATCATAGTAAAATGTAGTGGTGGTACTAAAGTTTTTCCATTTTTGTTTAGATGATTCGCTTTATTCAATAGGTTGAGAACCGCTGCTCTAGATCTTCGAAACTGCAGATAGCTGGATAATTTGTTTTTTTCCCTCTGTCAAGTAAAATTAAGGTTTTTGTCAGTTTATTTCCGTATTTTAAATTGTTATGAATTAGAATGTATAATTTTTATACCTACTCCATCAAAAACTCGAAAACTGCATATACATTTATTGAGAATTAATTGTTTTAAATTATTTTTAACAGCCCAGCAAGAAGCAGGTGGTGTCACTGTCACCATCAGAGTCTAGGAAAAGAGCCCACAGAAAAAAGGTCTACAGGAATAATGCTCCCAGGCATAAATGCTCACAGGAAGAAAGCCCACACAGAATTATGCCCACATAGAAAAATCTCACATGGAAAAATGCTCACTTGGAAATATGCTGACACGAAAAATAGCTCCCCTAGATATATGCTCACATGGAAACAAGCCCACTGATAAATAAAATACGCAGAAATATCCTTACATTAATCAATCAATAATTAATTTTGATAATTTTTCGCCGTATATTCTGTTTCATTTTTCCCCTTCCTCCTCTCTTTTTACTAATTCAAACCGGCGCATTTGTTAATCTTATATAGCAACTGAATCTACACATAAGTTATACAGTTCTTTATATAGATGTTTTGGTAATTTAGATAATTTTTCTTTGAAAAATTTAAGTAGGTGTACGGTGTTTAAATCGATTAATTATTGATTGATTAAGTTAGGGTATTTCTACAAATTTTATTTATCAGTAGGCTTATTTCCATGTGAGCATATATCTATGTGAGCTTTTTTCCGTGCGAGCATATTTCTAAGTGACCACTTTTCCATGTGATTTTTTTCTATGTGGGTATATTTCTGTGTGGGCGTTTTTTCCTGTGAGCATTTATACCTGTGAGTATTGTTCTGTGAGCATTTTTCCTGTGGGCTTTTCTCCTGTGGGCTTTTTTCCTGTGGGCTTTTTTCCTGTGGGCATTTTTCCGGTCACATCAGGCGGACCGCATCCTCCCCAAAAATATGAAATTTCCCTAGGAAGGAATTCTTTCGTGGTTGAAAGCTCTTGGTCTACAACTAACTGATTGCCAGTTAAGTTCGGCAATTGTGTACAGTAAAAGTATTAATAAAAAATGCAGTACCAGTTTTCTACTTCACTTCTTGAATCATTGTTTTACCGCAAGATGTCTTTTTATAAAAAAAATTAGGCTAAATATACGTAATGATGTTTATCATTTCCTTTTGTACATATGGGAATTTTGACTTCAGGCAGATATAAAGCATTTATTTCTTTAATGGTGTCTGTATCTTGAAATAAAATGCGAAAACGAAAAACTAAAACCTTTAGCATTTCTGTTACATGACGCATGGGTTTGGCTTACAAAATAAAACGTAATTAAATGATTCAGATTTCTTTTATTTGAATAAATCTCAAATTATTCGGACGCTTGGAGCTTACTTTACTTTCATCATCATGTAATACCAATCTAGTGAAATTTTCTCCCTATACATAAGAAACGTGATTAATTTTTCTAATCTAATTATGAAGTGAAATGTTGTAAGATTATATACTGAATTTCATTAGATAGTTTATAAGGTGTTTCTCCCGCCTTCTTAGCATGCCTTCGTGGTGTAGTGGTCAGCACGCTCGACACGTAATCGAGAGGTCCGTGGTTCGAGTCTCGGTGATGGCATTGATCATTTTTCGTCTCTCCTGCTTTAAAAAAATACCTAATGTCTCTACAAGTTAATAAAGTAAAATGATCAAAAACAGCTTAAATTATATTAGAATTTATTAGATTAATGCAATTCAGTAATCTTTAATGGTATCATTAGCTATGTACCCAAATTAGAATTAAACAAAAAGTAAAACAGATGTCAAAGACCGAAAAATCTACGAAAAGCAAATTTCCTTAAGAGCTAAGAATTCAGTATTATTGGCTGCCAAAAATAATTTTAATAATAAAATGTTAACTTTACATGCAGTTTAATGTAATTTCATAATGATGACAGAGCAAACGATGAGGTGAACAGATACTTTACGGATATTAATCATCTTTTCCGCGCGATGATGCTTCAGTTGCTGACTTTCATACCTTTAACACCTACTAATAATGTTCACCAATAGATTGTGTCATAATGGAATCAATTTATCATCACACACCCATAAATCTAATCGAAACTAGCTTAGTGTTTGCTGCAGATACATGTTACGGTAAATTTGACCTATCCGCTAACAATAAAAGCCATATATTACAGAAGCTAACAAATGATAACAAGATGAAGGATATAGAATTGCGAAAATAGTTAATTTAGAAATTCTAAACGCTCAATGAATAGGTTTCAGTGGATCTTATTTTCTTTTATTTTTTTAAACACAGTTTTAACATTCTGTAATTAAATAATTATTTAATCTTTATATTGTTTTGATACAAACACACAACTGAAATTATCTAACAGCAGCAATGCATTTTCGAAGAAATTTGTTTTATTGTCTAAGCACAGCTTTAGTATGCAGCAATTAAATAATTTTTTTGAATCCTCACATTATTTTTATAAAAAATACACAACTGAAATTATGTAACATTTGCAATGCAGTTTAGAAGAAAAGTTCCAGGATAAATTTAGTACTGGGAATTTTTTTTTCGCTAAAAATACAGATATAAAAATAGAATAATAAATATTGTAATTACTACTGTAACCCCTGATTATACATATACATACTCTGATGTACTACTATAAATATGATTAAAACATAATATCGTGGAAATACAAAGTAAATAGACTATCAGCTTCATCTTAATTAAGAAATACTGTTGCTTAGTCGTTTTACACTGTTTTCTGCCTACGCCGTAAATTCGCATAGATATATTAAAATATTTCCTTTTTCTATTTTTTAAAAAATTTGTAAGTTCTGCACGTTTTCTGGTTTTTACATGCTTATTATGTTAATAATAATGATAATAATATATATTTATTACTTTTAATGAGTTCCATTGATTTTGCATTATGAATTATGATTGTGTAAAGTACGTTTTTCTAAAAAAATCGTTTGGAGTCCCGAAACAAATTAATCCATTTTACATTAGTTCTTTGGAAAAAAAACTGCTTAAATTTATGAACATTGAGTAACAAGATATCTTCAGTAACGAAATAAGTTTGCAAACCAGTTCCCTGTATTAAGCATAAGGAATGTTCATAAAAATGCTGAAAATATTTTCTAGGTAGATTTTTCAGGTAGATGCAATTTATACAAATTGAACTTTATGATTTTTTTACGCTACCTAATAACATTCCTGTATTTTTCATTTGAAAATTCGCGTTTAAATAATGAAAATGTAGTAACAAGTATAAGAAAATGTAGTGGGATGGAGTCTTTAAACCTATTCCAAAAATCGTATGAGAAAATTGTATTTCATATCCATCCTATTTATCTATTTACGAGACATTTTCATTTTTTTTGTTAAGTATCATGCAATTAGTTCCCAATTTCAAAGTCAG